TTTTATTACGTTTGGCGGGGGAAAGGTGACTGCGCGCTCGAATTTAGAACAAAAATTAGTCACCAGCGCGCTCCCCAGCTCACAGAATCCCAAATCGTGCGCTACAGAAGACTCAGAATCACAGCTTTGTTCTCAGTCAGAACAAACACAGTAATTGTTTTTTTCAAAGGTACCTTCCTCGGCGCGATGTTATGCTCGTCTTGGGTGTTCAATAGCCTTTCATCAGGCAATACTGCCCCTTAGATCTCTGGACCTGCGGGACGGTGACGAGGTGGCGCCTCTCGCAGGAGGTTCTAACCGAGGAAATTTTAAAAGTGGTGGGGTGCTCTGCAGACGCCAACTACCCACCCCTCACAATATTATTTTTTGTTCCCGGAGAAAAAAGTCACTTTGTGGCAGTGGAAAATAGTTCAATTCCCTGAGGCTTTTTTTACAAAATGACTCAGGAGTAAAAATTAGTGGAATGTTTGAGGCATTTTTGCTATTGGGCTAAAATAGCTCATTTTAGTCTAATTTTTACTCCTGAGTCATTTTGTAAAAAAAGCCTCAGGAAATTGAACTATTTTCCACTGCCCAAATTGCCATTTGTTTCTGGCGCAAAACTGGTATTGTTTGTAGTGTGATTGGCTAGTGCCAGATCAAGTAATCAATCCATCAATTTAATTTTCAGTCAGGAAACAAAATCAAAGAAAGATCCAGTGCAAACATATTGAGCTCTAGTGTGATACTTGACAGAAAGGATCATATTGCACTATAAATAAGCATTGAATGAATATTTAGATACAGGCAAGAATCATCTTTCAACACAATGAATGCAGCAAAGTCAAGTAGAGAAATAAGAATGATAATATGATTGATGAGGTCAAGAGTTTGCTGAGAAATGAGACCCAGACTTATAACAAGGGTTTTTGAGACCACAAATTTTGATTCAGAGAAGGAACATAAACAAGCAAACACCTGTTCATATTCCCTCATTTATATCATGACTAGATGACACATGTTTTTTTTTTCAAACATTTTGCTGGATTTAGTACCTGTTCTTTTCCTCATGAATCAGCTTGATGAGCTTGTGATCCTTAAGATTGTAAGGGGGTGGCTGAAAACAAGGAGCCCTTGGCTCAGTAACATTCATACCCACACCAGTATTGGTAGTGGGAGGGGTGGACATTGGATAAGAATGATAGGTTCTGGGACTTGGATCGGTTGAAGGAGGTGACGGACGCATATCTTTAGGCTACAAGATCAAGCAATCAACAAACAGAAACAATTTGCTTCAGTATATTAATTGTAACAATACTGTAATAGGACGACAACTAGAACTAACTGGGGTTACTAAAGCTACTAAGGAAGTTCTACTATCAGCAAATGAAGTTTGAGTGAGAAAGGGAAAGGCACTTGAGGATGATCTCACCTTTATATTGAAGGAAGAGATAGCCTGTACTTTCATCTTACCATGACCGCGTTGGTTTGGATGCCCACCACCAGCTTGATGATAGGATAAAACCAACCTAAAACCAACCAGGGCAAACGGAAAAGAGGGACCAGAGGCTTTTTTGGGAACCAAGTGCCAGCGACAGGCATCTAGACTTGACACAAATCCACGGTTAGCGTAGTTCTTCAACCGGCCAGTGGTGGAACTTTGAGCAAACATCATGACACGATAGGTGGAACCCAAGGAAGTAACAAATGTTGGACGAGACAGGGGATGAGAAACTGAAGTTCACAGACTAAAAGTCTTGTGACACTTCTGAGTGAGAACACTAATGGTTTTGATTCACTAAGGAGGGAAACTCCAGAGACAACTGAGTGTAGACTAAATACACGGTTGTTTGTGTTATGGTAGAAGCATACTATATACAGGATATAAGCATATTCCAACAACAAAGGACCGGCCTCGGCAACGGTGTTTAGCGGGAGGAAGAAACTTAGGCTGGAAGATCATATTGGGTCTCTGTCCAAGCAACAGACAGAACCAAGTCTTCAGTCCAACTACGTACTACGCTAAGGATCACGAACAAAAAGAGAAGAAAAACAAATTACTCACTGTTTTTTCAACCGAGGATCTTGACGGTCGATCCGATTCGAAGTTTGGAAGATGTTGGAAGTCGTTTTCATGAGGGATGTAGTGGTGCCGGTTGCCTGGTATGTACTCAGACATATCCAGGGCGGCGGCACTTGAAACCCGGTCCGGAACGGCGCACACAACTTGGAGCAGGGAGCACAGGGCGCACGGGGATTGGGACGGGTACCAGAAACCCCGAACCCCCAATTCTGAACTCAAGTGCGACCCCTAAGGATTAAGTAAGCTGCTGCGTACACTATGACTAATCAACGTCACCTACTGCGGACTGTGGACTGCGCGCTGCACATCCACTCTCTCTAAAAAAAAAACCAAATAACCCCCCTTTTTAAATTACCAAGGTAAGGGGGGGGGGGTCTTTTGTGGCCCATTTTTTTAGTAAGAAAACTGAAAACACCAGAATCAAAGGTGGAAGTAAGAACTTGCTCCTGTAAATTTATACAATACAATGGAAAACTCAACACGGCTAATCCCACGGCACCCTGGCGGGGATTTTTGGCGGAATTGTCTGGGGACAGACAATAAGTTGGGGGAGGATGTGGTATACCTTAAGGGTAGCCAATTACATACCTTTTTACAACTTTTTGCTCATGTATACACTCAAAAATCACACAATATGGCTCAAGAACTGGGATTCTATGGTCAATTTCACCCTTGGTCACCACTGGAGGCGTCACTGGAACTCAACTGGATTGGAAGCTACACTCTCTGGACCATCACTACACTCAATTACACAACTCACCACCATGGCAACACTTCAACACTCAACAACCTCAACAAATTACATAATTCACACTACACACATGCATGTTGCAGGACAACCACATAATCACACCATTATAGTACATACATGCATACATTTACACTATCTTCTGACACTTGACATATGTAGCTTCTAGGCTGTGAAGAGAGCCGGAATACAAAAATGAGAATAGTAAAACTCCCCCAAAGGGAAAAACTGTATTTCGATGTAGGTAGACTATTTATACTATTTACAAGTATGTATTTGGGTAGATGAGAAACTAGAAATAAGTGCATATATGAAATATGTATATAAGTGTGAGAAAATATGTAGAAAATATGTAGACTATGTGTATGGGTTATGTAATAATTTGTAAGTACATAATCACGTGACAACACTCCCCCCCTCATCAACCCTAGAACCAAAACAACAACAGAAAGAAAAGAAAAAACTGGAGAAAAAACGTAAGGAGAAAAAAGAAAGAATAAGGAACATGAGGAAAACAGAAAAAAGAGAAAAATATAGAAAGAAACCATGGAAAAACAACCAAAACAAATTATATAAAAGTAGAAAAAAAGACAGAGAGAAACAGCTAAGTAGAAAACACAAAAAATCCCGGATTCACGAGAAAACACCTGAGCGGAGGCCTGATAGAGTGCAACCAAAAGATAAAACAAGACAGGTTAACCTCCATTGAACCAATCATGCATGGAATTATCGGTGGGTCCAGGAGAGAGACGAACAATTGCGGGGGCGTATGATCGGCGCAGCCAGCGCATACATTCCCCCCAATACTTGCCAAGGTGTAGGACAAAGACCTAAGTCCTGTCCGAGTCAAAAACTCCGAGACCTTCTTCCAACCTAGGGCCTTGGTGAATATGTCGGCCAGCTGGTTGTCTGTCAAAATCCATTCCAACCGAACCTTGTCCTGATAAAGAAGCTCATTGATGGTATGAAATTCCCGATCAATGTGGCGATGTTCTTTTCGAGTGCCGCAGTCTTTACTGATAAAGACGGCCGCCTTGTTGTCGGATAAGATTAACGGAGTATCAAGCCGGAAAAAACGGGAGAG